TGGGGGAATTGCAGAGGTTGTAGGTTGTAGTGATAATCTGGAAGTTCTTGATGTTTCATGGAATGAATTAGATGGGGAGATCCCATTGAGCATTACAAAGTGTAGGAGCCTTAAAATCTTGGATTTGGAATCTAACAAGCTGGTTGGGAGGATCCCTGCTGAACTTGCAGCTTTGAACAAGCTTTTGGTTGTTCGGTTGGGTTATAACTCGATCACCGGGACAGTTCCAGCCATTTTCGGGAACATCGAGCTGCTTCAGGTTTTGAATTTGCACGGTCTTAAACTTGTTGGTGAGATACCTGCTGATATAACCAGTTGCAGGTTTCTTCTTGAGCTGTAAGTTCAATAAAAAAAAAAAACCTTAAACGACATTATTTTCAATTCATCCCATGTGTAAATTCGACTCGACTTGTACCTTGAATGTCGTTTCTTTTGCTGCAGGGATATTTCTGGTAATGAATTGGAAGGGGGAATTCCTCAATCTGTTTATAACATGACATACCTTGAAATTCTTGATCTTCGTGATAACCATCTGAACGGACTCATTCCGTCGACGCTCGGGAGCCTCTCGAAACTACAGTTTCTGGATCTATCTCGAAATCTACTGTCTGGTTCGATACCTCCTACTCTTGAAAATCTCACATTGCTGCACCATTTCAATGTCTCGTCCAATAACCTTTCAGGCATTATACCTCCCGCCAAGACGATCCAAGATTTCGGGCCATCTGCATTCTTAAACAATCCTTTTCTTTGTGGTGCTCCCTTGGATCCTTGCTCTGCTAATAACGCCACTGGCACGACTTCCATATCGAAGAAGCCTAAAGTTCTTAGTCTATCTGCAATCATTGCAATTGTAGCAGCAGTTGTGATCCTGGTCGGGGTTTGCGTGATCTCGATTTTGAACCTAATGGCTCGGACAAGGAAGGCAAGGAGCACGGAAATCATTGAGAGCACGCCACTCGGTTCAACCGATTCAGGTATCATAATTGGGAAGCTGGTTCTTTTTAGCAAATCTTTGCCATCAAAGTACGAAGACTGGGAGGCTGGCACCAAAGCGCTGCTCGACAAGGAATGTCTTATAGGGGGTGGCTCTATCGGCACTGTCTACAAGACAAGTTTCGACGTCGGAATCTCCATCGCTGTAAAGAAGCTGGAGACTCTTGGGAGGATCAGAACCCAAGACGAGTTCGAGACAGAAATTGGACGTTTGGGAAACATTAAACACCCGAACTTAGTCGCCTTTCAGGGATACTATTGGTCTTCGTCAATGCAGTTGATTCTATCGGAATTCGTTGTAAATGGCAATCTTTACGACAATTTACACGGTCTGAGTTATCCAGGCACCAGCACAGGCATTGGCAATACAGAGTTACATTGGTCTAGGAGATATCAAATTGCACTTGGAACAGCTAGAGCTCTTGCTTATCTTCACCATGATTGTAAGCCTCCAATTCTTCACCTCAACATAAAATCAACAAACATTCTGTTAGACGAAAACTACGAAGCCAAGTTATCCGATTACGGGTTGGAGAAGTTGCTTCCTGTTATGGACAATTACATCTTAACCAAATACCATACCGCTGTAGGCTACGTTGCACCGGAGTTGGCACAAAGTTTGAGAGTTAGCGAAAAATGCGATGTCTATAGTTTCGGAGTGATTCTACTGGAGTTGGTAACAGGGAGGAAGCCAGTTGAGAGTCCTAGAGCAAACCAGGTAGTGATTTTGTGTGAATATGTAAGGGAGTTGTTGGAAAGTGGTTCGGCTTCTGACTGTTTCGATCGGAACTTACGCGGGATTGCTGAAAGCGAGCTCATTGAAGTGATGAAGTTGGGATTGATCTGTACATCTGAGATCCCTTCAAAGAGACCGAGCATGGCCGAGGTTGTTCAAGTTCTTGAGTCGATAAGAAACGGATTAGGATCATAGGAATAGATCTAAGAAATGATGGTAGCAGTCAGGATTTTAGCAGAGAGAGGACAGCTGAAGTTTTTCCAATTTTCTTGTGGATTCTTTTGTATTCTTTCTTCATTCGATGTTACGATTAACATCATCATCGATCGGGTCGTTCGTTCGTGATTTGTTTGTAATTTTTCGAACAATAAGATTCTTTATTTATTGTATTTAGATGGATCATCTTTCGTAACTCTTTGCAACTCCTCCCATTTACATTTTTGTATATTCATAGTCTAGATATTTTTATTATGTCCGATAAAAAAAATAATACAAATATTAACGATTTAAACTTAAAATACTATTTACAAAGTTATAGTTTTTTTTTAAAAAATATCCCATCAACTTTCAAGGTGTCCACTTAAACAGCATGGATGGAGTCTCGTGGGGACCACTCCAAACAAAGCAGAAATTTCTCGTTTAAATGGGGAGTAAAAGAAGGATTGGAGAGACCCACTCCAAACAAGACAGAGATTTCCCGTTTAAATGAGGAATGAAATAACGAGTGAAGAGAGATTTCTCCCTTAGATAAAAAAAGGTTAGGGACGGGAATTATATTCCTTATTCTTGTCCTTACCTAGTTCTCTGACTTACTTCGTCCTCACCCCGTTTCAAAGTGGAACTTTTAAGTTCCATTTTCGATTGATTAAATATATACCTTTTATGTTTCAATAAAAAATAATGAAATTAAAAAAAAAAAAAAAAAAAGAAAGGAAATAAAAGAGAGAGGAAGTAGGTCAAAGGCCAAGTGAAAAGCATGAGTTATTTATGTGATTTGGGCCCTATCAATCAACCTATCATCATTTATAACACATCAAAATATGAATCTTTTTTCAAACAAATCTCAACCACACGATCAAAATTGGTAAAAATTCAACGTTGTGGATTGTCTATAGACTTAAGCTATATGAATTGGTTGACTTTGATTGGACCAGACCTATCGTGTTTATCACAAAAATAGCATGTTAATTCAAGAGGAGAAGAAAATTTTAAATTCAATTTTTAGAAATTTGGAAGATGGATTAGAAACTTTCCTCTGCTCAAACGTTCAGTAAATTCACTAAATTTTAACGTTCATAAGAAATGAAAGATTAAATTGAAAAACGTTCGAGCATATAAAAGCTAAATTTAAACTTTTTATAAAACGGGTTTAGTAAACTTTTTCCGTGTCATGAACATGATGGTGTAAACATGATTACTACGTTTTTTATTTGAAATATTTTTAATTTGAATCTATATTTTTGTTTGCAAATTATTAAACTAATAATTTAGTTATTAAACTTTAACGTGTAACCGCGGATAAATCCAATCCAAAGCTACGATTCGATTTAGGTTGAGTTATTAATTTATTTGAATTGGATTAAATTTAAATAAATTTATTTTAGTTAGATTAAATTTAAAGGAATTCATAAATTTTCATAAATTTAGATTGGATTCACTCGAACCAACCTCAATTTTGACTTATTATACCATTATCAAATTTTTAATTAATATTTTATAATTAAAAAAATTATCTTTTAAATAGTTAAAAATTATTTTTTAGAGACATTGGATAATAAATAATAGTAAAAAATTATAAAATTAAATAAGAATATATAGGCAAATCATAAATATATTTATTAAAATTAACAATAAATTTGAACCAATTAAGAAAATTATCATAATATATCATAAACACATTTTAAAAAAATAATTTCACAAATATAGAAGGACAAGCTGTAAGTTTGAAAGAAAATAAAGAGACTTTGTTGGCAAAAATTTGAATTATTTTCAAATAAATACAAAAACCATATCATATAAAAAAAACAAAACAAGGTGTTGTAATAATAATAATAATAATAAATACAATAAAGAGTTTTAATTTCTTTATATTAAAATTTCAAAAATTATTATTCAAAAATAACGTGTCACATGCATAAAAGAGACTGACAAAAAAAAAAAAAAAAAAAAGCCATTGCATTACCGAAACTACCCTTTGGCATCGAATTCCATTTGAATTTCCTTGCGGGCCCCACTATAAACCTCCTCCCTTATTAAAACGGCTAAAACCGTTGGTGGTATTCTTGTAAATTATTCTAATTCTCAGGGGTAAACTAATAGAGCAGCCGAAATTTTCAGTCTTCGACACAGAAGAATATCGCCGCCCGAAAACAGAAGAAAAGCTCGAACCCCCACGTTTCTGTTCCCTCATTTTCAAGCGAAACGTATTCGAAATTACCATTTGGCCCTTCCCGACATTTGAATTTCCAACCTGTCTCCACGCCATTTCTCACATTGTTCAGGGGTGTAATCGGAATAATAATTTTGTGTGTTTTTATTTTTAATTTTTTTAGGTTTATGAATTATTTTTTAATTCTTTTTTTTTTTTGGATCCAACTCCCACGAACATAGTTTAATTTTATTTTTTGAGGTAAATAATATGAGTATTATTTCTAAATATTTAAAAAATTAATCGTTATAAAGAAAATCCTACCTGGCGACCTAACTCGGCTATAAAAGTAAAACCCGAGATAGGTTTGCTGTCTGGTTACTTGTAGTTTATGATCGTTGTTGCAACGTCATGGAGGAGTGCCCTACTTATATTATTAATACTCATTTTTTTCAAAATAATTTTTAGGTCACACAAGATTGTATTACGAGAGTGACGTGTAGGGTTGAGAGAATCAATTATGGGACGACCCCATTAATTTTTTGTTTTTAAATGCTTCCGCTTTAATTTATTTTATGACGGAAAAATAAACGTGGAGTTACGAAGATTTGAATCTCCACTCTCACATCGTGAGGATGGGTCTACTCTTATTTATCGTTTTAGCTTCTGTAAATCAAATTAGATATCAATAATTAACGGATTATGCTTTATAAATAGGCGACTTAATTTAACTTATTTTCTATTTTAATTTAAAATATTAGAAAAAGTTGAATTTTAAACCTAAAATGACATCCTTCCGTTATTTTTCAAAAAAAGGGATTTAAAAGTTATTTTTTTAATTTTTTTTTTTTGGGTTAATAAATATTTGATTTGATTCGAGTTCACACATTTTGCTACAGTGAACAAGGCAACGGACAAAACCACGCTCCCCGTCTTCTTCAGTCTGCTGCAAATCGCTTCTTCGATTTCTGGACTTAGGGCTTTTTCGGCGAGTTTTCCGACAATAACCATTGCTGCTCCTTCTTTTTCGACCAAGAGGGCGATCGCCATTCCATTCTCAGTGTTGGTGAAACTGAGCTCTGAAGAAGGAAGGAAATGGATGAGGAAATGGAGGTTGAGCCGGTTGTTTTTGATGCTTATGAAGTCGATATTGAGTATGAGTTTGATGCGGCTAGGTATTTTGATTTCACTCGCGAGGAGAGTTTTGTTGAGGCTTGTGAAGCTGAGCTTTGGTTCCAGTCTGCTGAAAGCTACCCTCCTTCTCGTGAGTAATATCGAGGTTTTGTGTGTTTTTTTTTTGTTTTGTCATTGGTTTTGGGGACTTTGATGATCGTTTTTAGAGGGATTTTACGCATCAATACGCTATTGAAATTTCTGTTTTGCTTGGTTGTACTAATCTTAAAGATGATCCGCTTTCGTTGTTTATGCTGTGGGTTTATTTCTTTGATTTTTCGTCGAGTGAGGAGTGTGTGAAGGGGGCTGGGATTTGGGATTTTCTTGAAATGTATGGCACGGGGAGTGTGCCAAGGGAACTGGTACTTTTGATTTTCTTGCAATAATGTGTGGCGCTTTCGTTGTGCTCATTTTGTTCCTTTGAATTTTCATTTTCTTTTCTTTCTGTCAGCGTTTGTAGCCAAACTGTTCTTGAGGGAAGAGTATCTTTTCGCCATTGAAAATGCGTCGAAAAAATCTGAAGGCCGGGACAGCACAATTGATTCGCATAATGATGTCAACCAGGAAATTGGTTCTGTACGTGAAAATGACGGAGGTACATTTCTGGTTGAAGAATCTTCTGACTTCTATCCATCTCTGCTTTGATACACTGTTCTGGTCGGGGGCTGATATTGACAAATTACAAGATTATCTTGTAGATTGCCAAGATGCAACTAGAGGATTCTTCACCAACACACGGGATCGAAACTTACAAAAAACTCACAATCAACAACTTCAATTTACATCAGGTGGTCAGTCCGTCTCTGAAGAAGTAACTGGTGATGTTAAAAGATGGAGAGTTTATCCTTCTTTGACATTGAGTTACTAAAGGATTTGATTAACTGCATTTTGCTTCTGTCAAAATTTATCACTTCTCAAATAGTAATGAATGGGATGAAATGGGTATTTGAATTCACAACCTTTTTTCTTTTTTAATCTGTTATTTCTCTTTAATTCTGTTTTCCAGGATCTAAATCATACAATCGTCCATCCCTGAACATACCCAAAGTGAAAGCCCCATCTTGTGTCAAGCCATCTAGACCCAGGGGCACCACTCTGATGAAACCAACAGTGAGCCACTTAGCGAGACAAACTCAACATACTGATATCAAGTGAGTGCTAGTGATGCTGCTTCATTTCGTTTTCTTGTTTGTATATAAGCCAAAATTGCTTTTTATTTGATATTGTCGTTTGTAAAATTTCACAAACCTTTTTGTTGCACAAACTATCATGAAAAATACATTAACTTCTTTGGGATTCTTCTAGCGTGCATAATTATCACAACGCCCTCTTAGTTTAGCCAGTGAGGATAATTTTCGTAAAAGGCCTATTTGCTTATATGGAGGCCAGTAATGATTCTGTTCAATCAATTCTTCAAATAATGAATTAATATCCTGTATATTTTAGGTTGCAGAGAGTACTTGTTAAAAACAATGAGACAAGTGTCTGTAGTTCTGGGACCGAAAGTCAAGCTATCAAGAAGCAAAAGCTGGATGAAGGTCACTCACGCAAGGTACATAAGTTGTACAATATATCCCTGTCTCTATGATCTGTGATTATGTCAGTTTGTCCAGATAACTTCCTCTAAAGCTTATTAATAATTTCTAAATCGCCATAAATTATAGGTCTTTTTTATGGTGCAGTTTCTGAATCATCATTCTTATTATTTTTCTGATATTCAAGTCCATTGGAAAGTGTTACATTTCTACCCTTTTTCATTCTTTCTTTCTTTTTGTTTTTTGGTTATCATCAATGTTTTTACTCGATATTGTCGAATCACTGTTTTATAAGGCATGTTTGGCTCTAGGCGTTGTGCACCTTTGGGTGTTGTCGGGAGTCAATTGAGATAATTTCACTCAAATGAGCAAATCGTGTGTCTTAGTGATATCACTATGGGGTTTTCCCCGTTTTTTGTGCATAAGTGCTTTTCTTCAATGTCTTTCTTTCCTACTCTTCCTTTTTTCACTTTAATTTATAATTTGTTGATGAACAATAATATATCTATTATTTCTCTCTTCTTTTTTATAGGGATTTTATCCGATAATTTGTCCATGTTCTCTTTGCATGTATTTTTTATCTCACCCTGAAAGGGCTAGTTGTGCCTTAGTGTGCAGTTGAGTACTTAGCTGATTATGGAGTCTTTTGAACTACTCTGCTATGCACTTAACTTAGTATGAGTTCTAATTTTAACCTTGCATTACAGGTGAATGAAATAAAGCAGCAGACTAGTTTGGTCCATAAGCTTCCTAAAAAGGTGTGTGTTTGTTCTTTTTATTTTTGTTGTTCATTACGTGGGTTAACCATACTAGTGTAGCATAGATTTCAAATTTGCAAGAAATTCCAGTGCGTATCTCCAAATTTTGGTGTCTATCTTGTACTGTAAGTTCGGTAGGTTGGCCATACTAATGCATATGTTCTTCAGTCTTATATGGACATATATGCTGGTATTTTCCAATCTTAGAAGTTTGCTCTTTGTTTTTTTCTTTCCCCGCACTATAATAAAGTCATTTTGAGGTATTTTAACTGAGTCTGGATTCTAATCATTATGTGGACAAGAAATCTTAGTGAATTATATGCAAGAATATAAATATATTGATGTATTGGCAGGATGGAGTTGCTGATAAATCTACTACGAATGCCAAGCTGAAGATTACAATTCCTAGGCAGCCTGACCTTGAAACAGCACATAGGGCACATAGAATAAGGTTTGAAATTTATACTACTTTAATTTACTGTAGTAAGAAAAATCTTGGTCCCATCCTTCATAGGGGTTACAGTTACTTTTTGCTTTGATGTCAGATTAAAAAGTAAGATGGAAGAAGATAACGAGGTCACAACTACTCGAAGGTTTAGAGCCCATCCGCTAAACAGAAAAGTTGGTACTTCTATTCAATAACAATTGGTCGTGGATTGTCGTGTCCTTTTTGCTGATTGGCGATGCATTCTTTTTCATATCGCAGATATTAGAGGCTCCATCACTTCCGCTTCCAAAGAAAAGCACTCCCAAATTGCCTGAGTTTCAAGTGAGAGACATTTCCCTATCTTGTCCAACGAGGATTCATTATAACCAGTGTTTTTAAAGGAAAGCTTTATACTATTCCTCATGTTGTCTTTTGTGTTTGTTTCCCTGCCTCTTAAGGAATTTCATTTGAGGACGTTGGAGAGGGCCATGCAAAATACTTCTGCTGTTTCATCCTCAGCCTTTCATCATGATTATTCTGACATTACAGTCACCAGAAATATGGAGTCTAGAAGGTATTAAAGTGGAAAAGAATCTTGTACTGCTCCCATTAAAGTGCAAATACCGACCTTCTTTTGTCAGAATACTAATAAGTGGCATTTATCTGTTTATAGATCAAATGCCATTGATGATAAAAAGAATGATGAGTATCATGTCATGCAAAATTTCAAGGCATGTCCTCTTAATAGGAAGGTAGATAATTACTTAATTGGTACTTTGTATAATAATGTTGTGCAATTAGACTTATTTATGGCATGTTTGGTGCAGATGTTTTCAAGTAAAGGTGAAATAGGTGTTTTTAGAAATAGCAAGCAAGAAACCACAATACCAATGGTAAATCCTTCCCCCCCATATTTCATTAATGTACATTCTTTCCTTTCTTATTCCTTAAGGTGTCTAAGCTGACATACTTACTGCATTCAGGAATTTAAATTCCATAGTGAGAAGAGAATTCTACAACCACCAACAGAACTTTTCAACAAGGTAGCTTTGGGTTAAGTTCGTTTTTTTTTTCTTCTTTACTATTTCTATATCATTAGTTCTATAATTAATGTGATTCTTTTAATCTTCTTATATTAGCTTTCCCTAACATCTCAACTCTATTCAAAAAATGGACCCTTGGCTAAAGTTCCGTCCCATCTATCCATGCCTTTGAAGGTATTAATTCATTTTCATAACTTCAAAATTATCAGCATATTTACTTGCAATTACTGAGAAAGATCAAAATTTTCTAAACATTTAAATTTTTTTATTCTCGATCTTTTTGGAATAAGAGCTCGAAGGAAAATAACTCGGTGTTATTTCAACCAGAATATAAGGTAAATGCTGTACTTTTTTTTTTTTTTTTTTTTTTTTTTTTTTTTTTTTTTTTTTTTTTTTTTTTTTTTTTTTTT